GCAGGAATGAGGGATGGACTATTTTGAATATCGGTTTTTGATTCAGATCTAGGTTTGTACAAAATGTATCTTGTTTCAAACTAAAATAAATGGATGTTTGCTCATGTTCAACGTGGCCATGTTTTAATAACAACACTTTAGCTTTTGACTGTGGATCGCTTTGTAAATCCAGCCATGTGTTCTGTAAATGGAAGTTCGTTATGTGCCGCATGTTGTCAGTAATTCGATAGAGAATGGTGAGTTGACATCAGTTTTAACTATGAAGTGGCTGAAGATTTTAGCACAGCTAATAGCAAATAAGCCCAGAGCATTACGTTTGCTCTGACTAGTTGTACATTTCTCAAAGTTCATGTTATCCCTTAGTCTGTTCAGGTTATCAGTGGAATTATTAAAAAAAAAAAAAAAAAAGTCCTTTCAAAGTATTATTATTGGGGGGGAGGGGAGGGGAGGCGGTAGAGATTCAGGACCTTGTGCATGAGTTCAGTTTACAGAAATACTGCGCTCCCTCCTTGCTTTAGACAAGCCATTTAACCTGTGCGCTGCAACTGTCCCACCTGTCCTGTGAAAATGAAAACTTACTCTTGACCTTTCAGCCTTGCACTGCTTTCTAAATGAGGGTAAGTATTGTTTTCCCCATTTCACAGATGGCTTGCCTACCTCACAGGGCTGTTGTGGGGACCAATTAAATGTTCATAACACTTTGCAAACATTAAAGAGCCAGAAGTGCTAATTGTAAGTTGCTATTCACAGCAGAGAGTCAGAGGACTGAGAGGCCTTCAATCTCCTTCCCAGAGGCTCATTCACACAGGTTTTGAGGGTTGCGCAGGGGTGAACAAGGAGCAGAATCTCTTACTGCTGCTGCCTGTGGCTCACCTGTTATTCTGAGACCATTTGGATGCACTACGTTCACTTACTGTCCAGAGAACAATTCAGTTCCCCTTGAATTTCCTGCTCTATCAATTGAGGCCGCTGGACAACTCCTAAATTACCAAACCTGTCCCCTGTAGCAGCCCTGATTGCATTGATTCTGAGCCAAGAGCACGGGCCATCTACCTTCTTCCGTCTCCGCTTTCTGAGATGTCTCTAAACCGTAATTGTATCAAAATGCTATATGTTACACAGGCGCCTGCATGATCATTCAGACTGGCCAGTTCATTTCCTCTTCTTCCGCCAAATCTGCTGCATCCTGGCTTACACACTTGACTGCAGGAGAGTTGTATATAACTCCATGTGGTGTACATGTATAAAGGAGAAAGCAGAAGACATTTTTCGATAGCTACTGCTGGGGAAGGTGACTCATTTCACTTCTGCAAAAGCAAACTACTTGAGCCAAGACTGGCTTCACCCTGGGTCAGCCAGCAGGAGACTGTAGGAGTGATGAAATTTGTACCTTTTTCACAACCCCCTGAATGCGGTCCCTTCACAAGGGCTCCAGCCGTCGCCTCTCACCCCTTTTGCTGCTAGCTGGCATCGCAGCACATAACCCGCTCCAACTCCGGCCATTTGCTGAATTAGCCTTTGTAAAGTAGGTTAATAGTTTGAAAACTGTCAGTGCTCAATTTGCGTGCCTTTTCGTGCCGCCTGCTCTTCTCTAATTAATAGCAGTGTGGTGAAATGCTAGAAACTTCTGTTCGGATCCTGTTTGTTCAAAAGAAGATGGCAAGACATGCCGAAGAATGCTAGACATATTTGATATTACCCGTAGCGAACCTGTCTCTCATCCACTCAGAAGAGAAATCTGCAATTAAAAATAATCCAACTAGTCTTCTCAAAAATCATCATTAGCAGCATTTGCCCACAAAGTAATTAGCATATAAAAATAGCTTTTGGAAAAGACGGTCCTGCATTTCAACATAATGGGTGAAATCCCAGCCCCACTGCAATCCAATCCTCAATGCAACAGGGCCAAAATGTAACCCCCTGGGTCAAATTCACCCATGTCATTCCATTCATCTCAGTGGTTACAAGGAGGAGTTTGACTTATGAAGTACAATACACTTCCCCGGTGCATGTAGGATTCTGCATAAATGCTCATAACCATTAGGCCAGCGTGCCTTTCGCAAAAACAAGCACAGCCCAGTGCCAAGTTACTTTGCTCACGGGACTTGCAGTGAGTACTTAGGCATAAGTGTTTGAGAAATGTTCACAATAAAAAGAAATAAATAAGTGGTAAGGAAAACACCCTTGTAATGGGGTAAGGGGAAGGTAAATGCTTCCCCATAGGAAGTAAAACAAAAGAGGAAGTTAACAGCATTTTTCTCTGAAGTTCAAGGCATCTTGCTGGGTCTGTAGCCTGGAGCATTATCCTCCTCTCTGGCTACTTGCATGCAATTACATTTGGCTACTAGCTACAATGAGCTGCAAGGCTCTCCTCCATCTATCTGCAGTCAGAGTCAAGCCAGCCAAAGCCCGGAGAGACGGGTTTCCCTAGGGTGGGTCGGGATTCAATCACCCAGTGAACCCCAAATTATTTTATCTAGCTCCTGCCCTGAATTGCTTTTCCATTACTACCTCGCTCCTTTATTGTGCTTTTCATCCACAGACTGTAAAGGCGAGTACCAATATGTCGTGTTACATGCAAGGAAACAAAGCTCTTGGGAGGTGAAAACAGCAGTGCAGTTGGGTTTTTTTTGTAGAGATGGGAAAAATCTTCACCTTTTTAGATCTTGCAGTTATAATTAAAACACTTTCATGCTGTTCCTGTATGCGGGAATAGCCCCAGACAAGCATCAACAAGGCCCCACTTTTGTCCTCAACGCCCTCCTACAACTCTTTTCTACCACAAGGCTTGCAAATAGCTCAGTTGCAAATAGGCAGCTGTTTGGCTCGAGTCACTGCCTGTCCTCCTGACCAGCATCACCCACAGGGCGTTCATGCTTCCTCCTCAGACCCACCTGTCACTGATACCTTCCACTTGCACCGTGAGCTCCACATGGGTCAGATGTCTGCATAGCACCTCATGCAATTGGGACTTGCCAACACAAAAAATAATTGCAAAGACTAGGTGCTCATCACATTACAGATGGGAGAGGACCTCGGGGATTTCTGATAGCTGCCAATCCACACGGGTGAAAAGCAGCCTATCACGTCTCCATGGACAGATCGAGCCTAGTGAAAAGCGGGGTTCAGAGGTGTGGCGTACCATCACATACAACACGCACCTTTTTCTCCAGGTAAAGAGAAGCTAGAAACTTCACTAATATGTGAAGGGCCGAGCACTACATTATTCACTTTAAGATCAAAGCAAAAACAAATGTAACTTTATGGCAACGTGCACTAATTTGCTAGGTTATATATTAAGTTTAAACTAGGCAAAAAATAGACATTACCAGGAACGGCTAACAGACAGTAAAACTGCAGAAGAAAGGATAGTTTGAATAGTGGAACATCAAGACCATTACGAAGGAGAGAGAAGGAGCATTAACACCTGAGGAACGAAGAGAAATTAGCAGGGGTGGGTGGATGATAATGAGCCATGAAGTCAATTGACTCCCTCAGCACTGTCTGAATAGAAATGCTGCTGCCCCTCCAGGCAGTGGGTTTTGCAGTTTGGGTGGAGCAGCATGCAAAAAGGTGGTGCAGCTGCACCACGTTCACCCCCCAGGGATCGGCCCCTGTACGTCTCCCAAAAGGTACGGTTCCAGAACTTGCCTTATTACCATCTTGCCTAGGTTGGAAACCGGGGAAAGAACTGATTTAAAAACTGATTTAATTTTCTCTGCTTTAATGAGCCTTGCAGAAAGTTTCCACTGCTCTGTGGGAAGCGAACAGCCAGCTGTGAGAGCTAATAATAATATGGAAGGCAATCTGGAGGTACGGCACTTCAAACCAGTGTAGGAATCAACACACATCTGTAACCAAAACCACGCAGGGTTTGGGACTCTAGGGCCTACCTGTGACTATTTAACTCAATAAACCCCAGAGGGGGACGGCCTGCTTTAGCTTATTACCCTCTCCTCCACAGCATGGACAGTAGGGGATTAAGCACAAACAAGATGCATACGCTGCCATTGAAGTCTCATTTGAGAAATACTGGGGTGCCTTCTCTCAGTCACCGGGGTGGATATAAGGACCTGATCCAAAGTCCATTGAAATGACTGCATCAAGCCTCACCGGATGGTGAACAGAAAGCTGCAAGCACACACCTCTGCTCTGTAAAGAGTGCCTGCTCCCTGCAACACTGCTGCTTTGATCGCACATTTAAGGCAGACTGCCAGCCCTGCGGTCTGGGTCTGGACGCAGAGCTGCACCCGCGTCCGCACTCTCCTCGGGAGCCATATTTTATTATTTACTTTTGTCCCTTTATTGCAATGCAGTGTGAAGAACAGCCTACCACGTGCCAAACGGGTCAGTCGTCCTGGGGAAGGCTTGTTGCTCTGGACATATCAATTGTTCGCAAACCCTCTATTTGCCAAAGGGACCAAATCCTACACTCCATACATCAGCAAAACTCTCCATGACCTAGGTCAGCAGTGCTGGAAGTTTTGGCCTCGGATCAGATGAATGGTGCAGGGCTGATCCACAGGCCAGATCGGGCCCCCTACTGCCTTTGCCCACCAGCCCCGCGCAACAGGATTGGGCCCAGTGCCAGCCTGCATGCCCACTCTAGCCCCCGGGGCCAGCTGCGGGGAGCTGAGTGGGCCGGATGACAGTGCTAGGAGTGGCCTGTGGGCCGGGGCGAGCACCCCGATCTCAATACATTGGCACATATCTGCTCTATGCCTCTTCTTTGCTCTAGTATTGAAGTCTCCTGTTGACAGCCTAATTCTGCTCGGGGTGACATCCCTGGGAATGGTGCTGTGGACTTCCCCAAGGACTGGAACCGCCTTCTGGTTTTGCTTTGTTTCCTCTGGATGCCAAGCAAAATGCTGTGGGAGAGACTCAAAGCAGTGTAGGGAACTTAGGCACATCATCCCTTTATCTAAAACCTCCCTTGCCCACTTTGAAAAAGCTCAGCTTTATT